TATGTTAATATTACAACAGCTATATGAAAACAATAGAAGTTAATTATTCTCAATGGCCCGGATCCTAAGGCAAGTGAAGCTGAAGTCCACAGAAGGAAGGTTTCTCTTTCCTCCACCTCCAGCTACCAGTTACAATCCCGTCACCCACAATCTCTCCAGAAGATCGACGGGCTTTCTTTAACAATTTGGGAAGGAGAACTGGGTAAGGGAAGAATAAATTAACTTTCTTTATCACCATGCGACAGGATAAACACATTTGCATTGTATGAGTCGTGGGGGTATGTTCTGATCCCACGGAGATTTGTAACATATTGCTGGGAACTAAAACATCCATGTTCAAAGAGGTGATAGTGTGTGCAGCATCATGAAAACACAAGACAAATTTTAAAAATAAATGAAATGAAAAGAAAGGTTACCTACCTGTAACCATGTTTCTTCTAGTGGACCTCTGTGAATTCACACAAACGGGTTTCTTCTGCTCTTGCGCAGGATATCTTGGAAGCTTCTATAACTTAAAAAAGAGTAACAATTAAGATACCCCCTCAGGGTGCAAGCTCCGCCTCCTCAACCTTCCTCTCGGTTCCTCTATAGTCCACCATTGTCAAGTAGAATAGATCCAATAATAAGCAACATGATGGACAGCGGGGAGGAAGGGAGGGATGTGTGAATTCACAGAGGTCCACTAGAAGAACCATGGTTACAGGTAGGCAACCTTTCTTTCTTCATAGTGGCCTCTGTGAATGCACACAAAATGGGTGACTGACAAGCTCATTTACCGGATGGAGGACCGTCATGGAAGCAGAGATGTCAGTATAGCCCTGCTGAATGCAGCATTTTTTTTTGCCTCTGACGTCGAGGCAATAGTGCTTCGTAAACATCAATGGGTTGGACCAAGTGGCTGCTCTGCAAATGCTTTGCACTTCAATTCCACAGTGTGGTGCAGTCGATGTCGAGGCTGCTCGGGTAGAGTGTGCTTTCAGATGGTGTGGTATCGACTTGCCGGAGAGTTTATAGGCTAGCTATATAGCTTGAACTATCCATCTGGATATAGTCTGCGTTGATGCTGGAGCACCTCTGTTGGGTCCATGATAGCAGATGAATAACCTAGGTGATTGTCGAAACTGTTTCGTTCTGTCGATACAGAAAGCCAAAGCTCGTTTGACATCTAGTGTGTGGAGCTTGCACTCGAGCAGGGTGGACAGAGAAGGGAACAATGTTGGTAGCACTATCGGTTGATTCATATGAAATTCAGATACTATCTTGGGTAGAAATAAGATATCAAAGTATAGGGTCACCTTGTCCGGATGAAGTTGTAGATATGGAAGATCAGATCTTAAAGCTGCCAATTCACCAGCTCTTTTTGCTGATGCGACTGCAACCAAGAAGATAGTCTTTAAGGACAGTAATTTTTCATTACAGGTGGCCATTGGTTCAAATGGGGGCTTGGTTAGCACTTCCAGAACTAGTTGTAAAGACCATTGGGGAATGATGTGTTGTGTCGGCAGTCTGATATTCTGAAGACTCTTCATAAATCTTTTAAGGGTAGAGTGAGAGAAAAGTCGGGCGGACCGGGAATGGGGTGGTTGACGAGCCACTGTTGCCGAGATGAAGGTAAGTATTGTCTTGAGCAGGACTGGGATTGGAGTCAAGCTCTTGGATTCTGTAAATTTTATGAAGGATTTCCATTTGTTCTCGTATAGTCTCCTAGTAGACGGTTTCCTGGCCCTTTCAAGAATTCTGTGGAAGTCAGGGTGATCCTCCACGCTGTAAGATTCAGCGAGTGAATGTCCAGGAGAGGAACGGAGCCGCTGTTCTGGAATAGGAGGTTCGGTATCAGCGGTAAGTGGATAGTTTCTATTGTCATCATTTTGAGGTGAGTAAACCATGGTTGGTGGGGCCATCATGGTGCAATCATGATAGCATCTGCCCAATGTTGAATGGCCCTGACGATTGTCCTTTGGATCATTGGTATCGTTGGGAAGATGTAGAGAAGTTCTTCTGTCCAGTCTATCATAAAGGCATCTCCTAGTGACTTGACGTCAATGCCTGCTTGGTATTGTACCGAGCCACGAAAAGGTCTAGTGTCGGGTAGCCCCACCAGCGGCAAATGTCCTGAAAAATGGACTTGTCTAGTGTCCATTCATGCATGCGGGTGGGCAGTCTGCTCAGGTGGTTTGCTAGTTGTCTTCCGTCGAAATGTGGATAGCCTGTGGGAAAATGTGGTGGAGACGGCACCATTCCCAGAAGTCCATCGTGAGGTGCAGGAGGGGTATAGAGTGTGTGCCTCCCTGTTTGTTTACATAATGCATTGCCGTGGTTTTGTCTGTCACCAGCTGAACTGCTTTTCCTTTGATACGAGGTAGAAAGGCTTGAAATGCCTTTATTATGGCCCACATCTCTAGTTGATTTATATGAAGTCTCCGTTCTCTTTTTCTCCATAGGCCATGTATTCGAAGTTCCTGGCTATGCACTCTCCATCCCGAAGGACTCGCATCTGTGGTCACCTGTATCAAGAAGCGCAGCGGCTTGAAAGGCCTGCCCACTGTCAGGTTCTGGATGATGTCCACCAGGTAAGTTGGTCTGCCAATTCCGGGGTCACCAGTAGACGCTTCAATTGATGGTGTAGTACTGGGTTGAACAGGGATAGAAACCATGCCTGTAGTGATCTCATTTTGAGTCTTGTGTGGATGACAATCGCGGTTGTGGCTGCCATAAGACCTAGTAGATGTTGTGCTTTGTGGGCTGATACAACTGCGTATTGTTGGAATAGGTGAATGTCATTTTGTATCTTTATGATTCTTTGTAAAGGTAGGAACGCTCTTGCTTTTACAGAGTCCAGGTCCGCTCCAATGTAGTTGATCATCTGTGAAGGTTCTAGTTGGGATTTGTCGAGGTTTATTCTCAAGTCCCGTCTTTGTAAAGTGTGCATAGTAATTCTTGTGGCTTCAATGGCATTGTGATAGGAGCGAGCTACTATAAGCCAGTTGTCAATGTAAGGGAAGACTGTAATCCCTCTGAGTCGGAGGTAAGCCACAATGGGAACCATGCATTTCGTAAATGTTCTGGGGGCTGTTGATAGTCCGAACGGTAGGGCACAGAATTGGTAGGTTGTGTTCTCGAATAGAAACCTGAGAAATTATTGATGAGTAGGGTGTATCGTTATGTGGAAGTAGGTGTCCTTCAAACTGATGGCCACAAACCAGTTTCCCTTGGATAGAAGAGGGAAAATGGTACCAAGGGTTAGCATACGGAATTTTCTAGGATGTATAAATTTCTTAAGGCGTTCAGGTCCAGGATGGGTTGAAGATCTCCATCCTTTTTAGGGACCATGAAATAACTGGAGAAAAATCTCTCATTCATCTCAATCAATATGTGGAAGCAGACGTCCTTCAAATCTTTCTCTTTTTTTCTAATTTATGAAAATTATGTTATATGTTATGGTATAGATATATATTTGTTTTATACTGTGTGTTGTAAGCTGCCTAGAGTGGTCATAACTGACCAGATAGGCGGGGTATAAATAAAATAAAATAAAATAATAAAATAAAATAAAATAAATAAATAAATAAATAAATTGATGGACATGAACCAATTTCCCTGGGATAGAAGAGGCACAATGGTATCAAGGGATAGCATATGGAATTTTCTAAGATATATAAATTTGTTAAGTCGTCTCAGGTCCAGAATGGGTCGAAGACCTCCATCCTTTTTAGGGACTGTGGAATAGCGGGAGTAGAACCCCTCATTTATGTTAGATGGTGGTACTCTGACTATAGCACACCTTTGGAGGAGTGATGATATTTCCTCTTGTAGTGCTAGTGAAAACAGTGTGCTCTTGATAGGGTTTGGTGGTGGAATCCTAAAGAATTCAATAAGGTTGCCCTTTTCAATGATAGACAGGACCCATTTGTCAGTTGTTATCCGCTGCCATTCTGATAGGAATGGAGAAAGTCTCATAGGGCTAGCTGGGTTGTAATGATTAAGAGTAGTACTTACCCTTTCACTGCTGCTTATGAAAGGGCTGTCTGATGTTTTGAGGTTGCTGCTGTCTGAACTGTGAAGTAGCAGTATGAGTTGGTTGTTAAGGTCTTTCTTGAGGCTACTAAGGTCTTTCTTGAGGCTGCTGCTTATGCAAGCAAAAGGGTTGATATTGATACTGTTGTTATTGGTAGTATGGCTTTCTGTAGGAAGGTTTTTTATATTGATAGGGCTGTTGTGGAACATAAGACTTTGCTGTCTTTCTCATGGATGTTTTCCATCATGTAATCCGTTTTGGCGTTGAATAGACCCACGGCATCGAACGGAAGGTCTTCAATCCTAGCCTTGGTCTCACCAACAATGTAGGCTGATCTAAGCCAGGTGTGTCTTCTAACTCCTATCGAGGTAGCCCATGGTCTTCGATGCCGTGTCCGCAGTGTGCCTCGCAGACACTCTTTGTTGTTTGGCCAGAGTCGTAGCCTCTGTATATATGTTAAGCAGTTCAGGTTTTGTTGTTTGTTGTTGTTGTTTCAGGGTGCTGCTTGCAGCGTAGGGAGTATTCTGTCCCATAAATGTCTTTGATAGGCGCCCATAGCTGCCTGATAGCTGAAAATTCTAATCAGTACTGCTGCAAGGGAGTGGAGTTTCCTCCCTAAGGAGTCAATTCATCGGGGTCATTGACCTGTTGCGGGACTTGGATTGAGTGGACTCAACGACTATTGAGTTAGGTGTTGGGTGTTTGAGCAGAAGAGCGGCATCAGCACCATGCGTCTTATAATGGTGCTCTACTCTGCGTGGAGTTTTTGGCGTTGAGGGTGGCTTGTCCCATGATTCTTTGACAAGCTGAAGTAATGCCGGTATGAGGCTAAAGCTACTAGGTGGAGGTGTCTTGTCTTGTTCCAAGTCATGAAACACAAGGTCCTTCTCTTGTTGAGATGGGAGTTGTGCATCGAGCTGCAAGATCTTGGCCATGCATAATATGAGTTGAGCATACGATGTGTGATCCTCCGAAGGTGATGGGGGATGATTATCAAGGGTGTCTGAGCGAGGAGCAGGATGCTGAATCATAGAGACATCCGATGATGATCAACCATCATTTTGGATGACATTGAAAGTGAACAGTCTGGACCCTCCATAGTGGTCCTTGGTATGAAGTCATCATCTGGCTGTGTAGACATCAAGAGTGGTTCGACATCATGTCTATGAGGTCCAGAATAGATGGTTGTGGTATCTAGTTTGTTTGAGTCGTTTCGCTGGCACACCGGTCTCTGGTGCTGCCAATTCTCTTTTGTGACCGTCTTTTTTGGGAGAGAGGGAGATCTTCTCAGTGCTGAGCATGACCTGGCGGAGGAGATCTCGTGGGGGAGTATCACGTCGATGGGGGGTTATCTAGGTCCCCTGTAGTCATCTTGGTATCCATAGTCATGGTATCGATAAGGATGGTACTAGTCAAAGTAGTGGTGACCGTAATACAGGAGACATTCGGCACGGCAGTAGTGGTTTCCATGTTGATGAGATTTCTTTCTTTCCTCTTTCTCGGAGAATGTTCCGAAGACTCCGATTAAAACTCCACACTGACATTTGCCCGCCCTGATGTTTGAGAGCTGTAAGAGGCCGCGGCTGGGCTGGAAGGCACATCAGCCTCAGATTGGCCTGAGCTTGGTGACATGCTAAGGATGGCATGTGGTGCCTGAGCTGAGGAGATCATATGCTCCTCTCTGTCCGATGACTGTCTGGATGACTCCTCCATAGGCAGCGGAGCTGGTGGAGAAGCTGCAATGGTTGATTTAGCAGTCTTTTGTTTTTTGGTCTTATCCTTGTCTTTTTTCTTCTTTGCAGGGTCATCCGACTGCGACTGGGTCTTAGCAGTCGATTTAGAAGATTTCTGTGATTCTTTAGATTTGGTAGATATCGATGTCATGTTAGCCATAGATTGGGTAGCCGGACTGGCTGTAGTTTTGGCCATGGTGAGTAGGACAAAGGGGGGTCCCCACTTCCATAGTTGGATTTAGAGTCTTTTTGTACGAAAAGGATCTTAGACGCCGAAGCCTCAGTTTAATAGCTGGTTGGGAGAGGCTTTTACATGCGGTACATGACTGAGTTTGGTGGGATTCTCCCAGGAAAAACAGGAATTTGTCCTGTCTGTCGGTCAAAGGGATTCTGCAGAGGCAAACGGAGCACCTCTTGAATCCCTGAGGGGCTATAAAACATAGGGGAATAGGAGAAAAAGATCCTGGGGAAGGGGGGGGAAGGCAGGAAAGAAAAAACGATGTTGTATGACAAGAAAAAAGGTTCTAATCACTAAAGAAGCAATTAATAATAATCCTAACAAAAAATAACTAGAAGAAATATACTAATTAGATAAAGAAGTTCATATTTACTTTCCTTATGGAAGCTCTACTGTTCCTCACGTCCTAACCAAATGGCGGGAAAAAAAGAAACTGAGAGGAAAAGTTGAGGAGACGGAGCTTGCGCCCTGGGGGGGGGTATCTTAATTGTTACTCTTTATTAAGCTCAGAAACTTCTGAGACGTCCTGCACAGGCACAGAAGAATCCTATTTGTGTGCATTCACAGAGGCCACTATGAAGAACACATGCTTGCTGTATTGTGGGATATTTCCTAACCCCAATGGAATAATTTCAACCTCAACAGCAAAACAATCCATAGATATTTTTGAACGCTTTTTTGTCTCCAATATTTGTTGCTGCTGTTGTTCATATTTACAAAACAATACATGTGAAGTGGCTGTAATGAATCTGGAGGAATGGAAGTGATAAACATCCAAGGTGTACTTCTCTTTATGTTCACCAAAACCAAAATGCATGTCAAATATGAACATCTTGCATTATTGTGCACAAAATTTAATCTAACTTATCATCTGGGTTTGACGATGCTACACCCCATTCAAAGTTGTTCAGAATGGCCTCCCTGATGTTTCAGGAAGGTTCTTCAACGTTACAGTCCTCTGCAATGATAGTGGGATGAGAAACCTTCTTTCTGTATCTTAGAACCCCAGCCCATGCGATCAAAACTTAAGGGCTAGCTGCTTACCACTTCTCCCTGAAGACCAGCCAGATGGAACAGGTTCAGGAAATCACCATCAGCCCCAGAGAATGAAAGATCACAGTTTAGGGAAGAGCCAATATTACAATACAAAATTAGTACAAGAAAAAAAAAATCAGTTCAGGAAATTAAAAAACTACAGCATTGGCATGTTCAAAAATTACGTGAGGAATGAAGGAGCAGAACATGAAACAATGAACTAGCATACGGTACTATGTTTACAGGGACAACTGTTATGCAGTTTCAAAAATGGTAGTTGTCGGGATCTGCAGATGAAACTTCCCCTCGACCAGCAAGTTTCCCACAGGTAGTAGCTAGAGGGTGCCCAATGTGGTAGAGGGAATAAGAGTGATAGACTAGGATTCAGGACACCTGGGTTCAAATCCATGCTCGGCCATGGAAACTCTCAGGGGTAAAGTGGGGTTGGCATTGGTAGAAGCATTCCTTAAGTATCTTACTTCCCTTGAAACTCCTATTAGGTTTGTCACAAGTTGGATGCAACTTGATGGTACTGAACTAAGTAACTATTTAAAATGAAGAAAGCCACAATTTCAAGTACAACTATAGAAGTGGCAGACATGAGAAAGTTACTTTTTAAGAGGTTTCATCCAAAAAAAACATGTTCAATGAAACTTTCAAGGAAGAAATCTTGTACAGTAACTTTGCCACATGCAAGACATTTCCTGCTGCTTAGCTCTAATTAAGACACTTAAGATCTGTGTCAGCTTCCTCTGCTGACAAGAACCAAGCATGCATATACTTATATATGCATGATCATATATATATATAGCACTTCACTACAAAATATACCATCGCAGTCACAGGGCAGAACTTCCTGATGCCACTTGGTGGAGGAGCAAATAGTGAGATGTTATCGTGATCCCTGGAAAGTCCTTTCCAGATTTATTAGCATAAATCTCAGCAGTGAATTATTGCTAGCTAAGAAACTGACTGTTGTACCTCCTGTCATACACCAGTCCTATGATTAAGCGCAAAATAAGAAATGCAAATGCTAACTTCTTAATCAGTGAAAATTCACTGCTGAACATTACATCAAATAACTTGCAGGTGTAATTATTCAACTGAATTCTGCTCATTATGGAGAACTTCAGAACTTTATGGAACAATCGTTTACACAGAGGCTGAAGTCCTGTTCTGTAACTTATGCATGCCAGTTTTTTGGAAATACAATATTTTTGATTTCTTCTCCACAAAGTCCTGAGGCTCCCATGGAATCTCTTTCAATTTTGGGAAGCCGGTGGGAGCCGTGGGACGGGAGAGAATCTAATTAACTGCAGCAACAATTTTTGGTAATTAGAGACTCCAAAGGCTTACAATGCTCTAAGGGATTGTAGAGGCACTTTGGAATCTTTGGGTGGGCGGAGAAGGCAAAAACATTTTATTTCCAAAAAATCAATGCAGCTGATAACATCATTAGCCTTATGCAGAATAACTTATGGAACAGGATTTCAGTCAATTTATCAGACCATAAATAGGAAACACATGACTCACCACAGGTTTGCTAGGTCTGAATGCTTCCTTCTTGTCTTCTGTCTTTTTGGTGGCAGTTTCATTGCGCTGTGATGGTGAGCCTTCTGACTTTGATGATGCTATGTCAATTGAGACCAAAAGCAATGAGGGGTGAGGGATGAAGCACTCATTTGAAAATAAATAAATGTTGACATTACAGTGGCACCCCGCTAAACAACGACTCCACTAAACGACGAATCCGCATAATGATGACTTTCTGCAATCGCTATAGCAATTCGCAAAACAGTCATTCCAATGGGGGATTTTCGCTGGACATCGATTAGGTATGTGCTTCGCGAACCGTTTGCAAGATGATTTTTTATCAGCTTCACAAAATGGCTGCCCTGTGTTTTCTTGACCCATGCTTTGCAGGGCAGCCATTTTTACAGCTGATCGTCCCTTGCAATATGGCTTCCTTATGAGCGATCTTCGCTGGACGACGAGGTATTTTGCCCATTGGAACACATTAAACCAGATTTCAATGCATTCCAATGGGGAAAAGGTTTTCACATGATGACGATTTCTCTAAACAGTGATTTTCATGAGACAGATTATCATCGTCATGCAGGGCACCACTGTATAGGAGTTTAACATTACACGGGCCAATATATTTAGAGGTACATTCTCTGTTGCACATATGCATGCATATATGCGCACACACACACACACACAGAGGAAGCAATAGTCCACATATTAAAAATAAGGCTTGTGATTGCTTCTGCAGTGTTCAAATGCAAAAGATGGATTGAATTGTGGTAGAAACCTCTATCTTGTACAACCTTACTGTTTCCTGCCTCATCTAAGATGAACCTGCCTGGTGAAATTCATCCTGTAAGAACATTACATCTTGGACTTTTGGGACTTGCTTTGAAGAAGTGGGATTTACCCCAAAAAAGCTTGCACACTGTATGATTTTTTAAAAATTCTTTATTAGTGGCCTATAAAGGTATCAGCTATTCTTGCCTTTGTATTTTGTAAAGGCCACATGGTTCACCCCTTTTATTGAATTTGTAATAGTTCTCTCCCTAATAATAGTAAAAATATAGATCCCCTGATCTATATTTTCAGTTCTGATAATAACTGGGATTATAGCATTCAAAGGCTGATTCATTACATACTCTTCTCAAACAAAATTCTCATTTATACACACTTAGACAAAAGTATGCAGCTTCTTGTAATTTAAAATGGTTTGTTTTTTCCTTCATTTGTAGCTGGATTGAGCAGTCTGGCCTATGTGGTGCCTACAGCTCCCCCATCCACTCCCATATGTTTTTTTTGGGGGGGGGGAAGAGAAGTCAAATTGTGTGTGCAAAAGCCTAGGATGTTTCTGCCCATGCTGTCTGGGAGAGTTTGAGAATCCAAAAAAGTAGCTTTCCAGGCTCAGCTTGAGGGCTTACCCAGACTTGCCTTTTGTAATATACACATTCAATATTTCTGCCTTTTATAACATGTACCCCTCCAATGCCACCTCAATTTTGACAGCCAGGGTTATTTTTAAATTAGTGATGGAACAAACCAATGCACTTATTACATAATACAAATGAATTTAAAGGATCCTAATATGATAGAAAAAAGACAAAATCCCCTTACATCTCATCCGGAACCTCTCTCCAGATCCACTCTGAGATCCAGGATGTGACCCAGGTTGTGAACTGGAGTTACTAGAGCCAGAGGAGCTTCCACTTCCAGGTCTTGGCACCAGTTTTTCCACTCTTTCCCAGAGCAAGCGAGGCTCTATATTGCTATATGAAGAAATGAACTTTTTTTAAAAAACAAAACAAAAATCATATTCAATCTAATCTAAATGGCAAAAGGAAGGCACGTTTTCTACACAGAGATCATGGTTTGCACGATGGCAATGATAGCACGACTCAGCCAAAGTTCAGTAGAATATTAGTGAATATTTAGTGAATAGGGCACCATTGTCACATCCTGCAACAAACGACTTTCCTACACTGACCTCCTAAAATAATACCAGTCATATTAAGAAAAATTTACCATATGCCTAAATGGTGAGATTAAGGAGGAACTGTAGCACCATTCCTGACATCTATAAATAAGTAAAAGCTTTGATGACACAGTTTCATAACAGACTCCACTATGACGTTGGGTCATTTAAGTTTTTCCTTTTTAAAATAGAGGATATCCTAGGAGATTTTGGAAGCAAGCTATGTATAATAATGTTAGACAGCTGAGCCAAATGAATCTACTCTTCAGCCCAAATCTCAACATGAAAAAGGTCCTTGCATAGTGATTCTTCTTACTTTTGACAGATATAATGACAAAGATACTGGAGTGGCTTGCCAGTTTCTGCTCCAGGTTGATCACATTTTGTCAGAACTCTTCCCCTATGACCTGTCCGTCTTGGGTGTCCCTGCATGGCATAGCCCATAGCTTCTATGAATTACTCAAACCCTTCGCCACGATAAGGCAGCAATCCACAATAAGGCAGCAATCCAATTTGCCTCTCCCAGTTAACTGAAGTGAAAAAGCACAACAGTGCTACAAACCTTGTGGAGTTTCTTTGACCAGCCTGGTTATTTTGCTGTCCACTGCTCTGTAGAGGAGAATCTCGACGAGATAACACAGGTGATCTAGATGTTGTCCTTACAGGTACCTTATGTAGCAAAAAAACAAAACAAAAAAACACCCAACCAATTCAAACGACATGACAAAACCAAGCCTTTAGTCCCATAAGAATGCATTTTGGCTATATTACAACAATACAGACATTTTTAGTCAAAATGGTTCTATTGACTAAAAAGTTCAATAACTACAGAGTCCATACATCCAGATTGACTATAGCTAAGATGCTGAAAAGAATGAAAGTTTAGTAGATGGCTACTGACACAGATACGCCTACTCACAAGACTGTCATGACAATTTAGAACACAGAACTTTGAAGCAAGGGATGCACAAAGCAGTTTGCTGTAACAGCATGGGGATTTAGAAAATTAAGCTCTATGGAGCCAACAAATGCCTAGTAATGGATCAGCAGAAGGTAGAGACTGGGGAAGCAAGTTATATTTGACAGAAGTAAATAAAGCAAGAAATCAAATTTGTTTTTTTGTTCTCAGTAGTGACTTAAAATAACTCAGAATCTGAAGCATGATCTGCCAATCAGAGCCAGAAAAATTGCTTTCAGCTATCGATTTTTATTTATGTTTTCTTGCCTCCTTAACTTTATATTACAAATATTTTATTTCTATACAATAACCATAGCCCATAAAGAAATACTTTCTCATAAAAACAAAGGCAACAATTCTTATAACCATCTGATTTAAAAATAAATAAATTGGGAGAGCAATTCCTTGCCTAAAGTACTATTTCTGTTACCAGTACAGTGGGGTCTTGACTTGAGAACTTAATCCGTATTGGAAGGCGGTTCTCAAGTCAAAAAGTCTGTAAGTCAAGTCTCCATTGACCTACAGTGCATTGAAAACCGATTAATCCCGTAACAGACCGTTTTTGTCCCATTTTGGTTTTTTTCTGGTCTGTAAGTCAATTCTCAGGCTGCAAGTCTAACCTAAATTTTGCAGCCAGAGAAGTCTGTAGCTCAAAAAGTCTGTAAGTCAAGCCATCTGTAAGTCAAGGGTCCACTGTATCACTCTATGAGTATGCATTTGCTCATCAAAAACCTAGCACATGCCTTTTGTTACTTTTTATTTTGCTGTGGTTATTTATTTATTTAATAAAGCAAACCCCAAACCCATGTCTTTCTACTTCTTACCCTTGGAGGCACCTCGTCACTGTCTGATCTAGCCCAAGCCTTTTGGATGGGGTCAGGTACCTCAGACTTAGAGTCAGAACTCTGACTTAGCACTTCACTGCGTGAAGGTGGATATGGGTCCTGAGAACGCAGGTGGTGGTGTGCAAATTTGGGAGAAGGGTCACTGAAGGAATGGGACCGCGAGACAGGGGAAACATTGTTCTTGAGAGATGCCAGATGGGACCACTGGACCTTACAAGAAAACAAAACATAGAACATTCAATGCGTTCCGTACAACTGGCTTTTTTTTTCTCAATTAAACACAGAATAAAAAGGCAAGAAGGTTTGAGTGGCAAGATTAAGCACAACTTGGGTATGAGGCAAGGCAAGCATGTGGTGGGTTTAAAGCAAGGAAAGAGCCTGGAAAACACACAAGATTGTAAAAAAGAATATATGGGCATTTTGGAGAGGCAAACTTTTAACACACAAATTAACGGGAAGGAATGAGACAAAGTCTCATTTTGTGAACTTGCTTCAATGTCAGGCCCAAGTGGGTCCTACACCAGAAGAAACATTTTAGTAAAGCACCAAATTGAAACAAAAGAAAGCACAAGATTGTATTAGCAAACTTATAGTTTCAAAACAATTTACTAGCATGTGTCATGCAGTAAGTTGTTTTTAAAGTATGGTGAAATGTGCAATGAAAAATAAAGGCATCCTTTACTTTTCTTTAGACAATGCATTCATGTATGTGTACACTGGCTCATATATACATATATGTATGTATGTATGTATTTGTAAGACAGAGACTAGCAAAACATACACTGTTCTGTATAAAATACAATATACAGTATGCATATTGCATAGCTCATTGGTAATGTAGAATACATACACAGACATTAAAGACTACATAAATACAACAACATACATTATAAAAGCACAGCAGTACATCCAGTAAAGTCTGAACTGCCCAAAATGAGTCTTACGACCACCATTCACTGTCATTCTGTCTGGATTATACAATATTTATGCTTAAAGATCATGCTGCATATGTCAAAGAAGAGGAAGTGCCAAAAGAAATTGCATGTACAACTATTATTTTCTCTAACATTTTAGAATTACACAGAATAACATGTTAGAATTACACAGAATATTCAGAATTGCTCACTCCCACCTCTTCTTTAAATTCCAAAATCATCCAGACTTCAACCAGGGTTTGCACACAAGAGCAAGAGACACCATAGGTAGTTATTTGGCTCCTCAATAATTCAATACAACTGTGTGTGTGTTTGTGTATGTGTGTGTGTATGTATGTGCACAGGTGTACACAAACACACTCACATGAAAGGAAGCATCTTATATAATGGCATACATTGCATTATACTGCAGTGAAGTATATACTGCAGTGAAGTCTCCATTAATTTGACTGGGTTGGTGGCAAAGAATGTTTACTCCAGCAAGTACCGTATTTTTCCGTGCATAAGACTATACTTTTGTCTGAAATCTTTAGACTAAAAATTGAGGATCGTCTTATACACGGAAGTAAGCTGAGGAGGAAAATAGTGGAGGGGAAAGCACAGATCAAAGTGATCCTGCAGGGCTTTGATCCCTGCTTTCCCCTCCACTTGTTAAACCTTAGCAAAAGGAAAGCAGGAATCAAACTGCTGCAGGATCGCTTTGATCCCTGCTTTCCGTTCTGCTTGCTAAGTCCCATGGGGCTTAGCAAAAGGAGGGGGGAGGATCAAAGCAATCCTGTGACTGTATAAGGGGGTAAGAGATCAAAATGATTGTGCAGTCATGGAATTGCTTTGATCCCTTTCCCTCTCCTTTTGCAAAGCCATGCAGAAAAAATACAGTACTATAATGCAGCTCTTATGAGGAAAGAGAAAAGTTGCCTGTGTACTTGAGATTAAAAATCTCACAAGTCCAGGTTTTAGAGAAACTTAATGGGACCAGCAACTATCCCAAAGCTAAAATGCAAAGTAAGGGAAAGATGGAGAAAGAGGGATATTGAATGAAGACCAGGGGGCTTCAGGACAAAGGAGACAGGGAAGCGAGGCCTCTAATCAGAAACGGCAGTCTGAACAAACTCCCAAAAAGTAAGGTAAGGAACAGGTACACAGTATAGAAAGAGGAAAAGTAAGATGTGAACATTGAGAAGGCTGATCAAGAGAAAAAGTGACTAAAAGATGTTGCTTCTCTTATCACTGCTGTGCTGGGATCTATCTTGAGGGAAACAAAATGGAAGAGAAAAAGAACAGCAACACTCACTCACACGTATTACACACCCATGTTTTATGTACTAACTCATGGTGGCCAGAACTTGAGTTGCAGACTTCTAGTGTAAATGGTTTAATAACGTGTTTTTAATGAGTATGCACTTGGATATGACCTATGCTGTAGTAGCAAACTATTCTTCTGGTTTCCGAGGCGGGGGCGGCTGTTCCTCCCCACAGACACACGTGGCACAGCAGTTTCACTTTTGGCAACTGGAGTGAAGGGGTGCATTGGCACTCCCTCAAGGTCTGAGGGTGAGTGGGTGGGCTTAACTGGGAGACCTGAGATGGACTGCCTTGAGGAAGCATAATTGGGGAAGAAAAGAAAAAAACAGGAGAAGAGGCAGAAAACAATGGCAGAGAGGCCCGCTTGGGGGTGGGGGCGCCCCTTGGGGGCTGTGTTGTAAGAAGAGGGCATCTTTTACACAAAGCCCCTTCCCCAAGGGACGTGGTGGTGCTGCGGGTTAAACCGCCGAAGCCTCTGTGCTGCAAGGTCAGAAGACCTGCAGTTGTAAGATTGAATCCACATGACAGAGTGAACCCCCATCACTTGTCCCAGTTCCCTCCAACCTAGCGGTTCGAAAGCATGCAAAATGCAAAAATGTGAGTAGATAAATAGGTACCACCTCGGTGGGAAGGTAAACGGCGTTCCGTGTCTAGTCACGCTGGCCACATGACCACGGAGGATTGTCTACGGACAAATGCTAGCTCTATGGGTTGGAAACGGAGATGAGCACCGCCCCCTAGAGTCGGACACGACTGGACAAATTGTCAAAGGGAACCTTTACCTTTTTACCTTTACCTCCCCAAGTTTAGGGAACTATCAACTTTAGAGATTTTTTTAAAAAGGATAATAATAATAAAATAAATACTGAATAAATAAGATAAACAATACAATAAACAGCAGAGCGGGGAGAGGCTAAAGGACCCAAAGAGGGGATCTGAACACCCAAAAGGTATACAAAAGCATACAGGACAACCATTTTATAGCAGGCCCCCCCTCCCTACTATGTCTCCCTCTGTATTTTATGGTATTTTCTTTCCACTTTTCAATTTATTGAGATTGTTATATTTTGTTATTCTACTGTTCTTCTGTTCAGTTGTTGTAAACCACCCAGTGTCCTTGATTAGATTACTTTTTGTATAACACCACAATAGATGAATCACAAACTATTTGTGCATAGACTGAAACTGAACAGTCTGAAAAGCTAAAGTGCAGAATAAAGACTCCTAGTTCTGACAGTGAGGTACACCAAAATTGGCCAAAATCGTGCTGCTGAGTGAAGTAAATTGCTCTAGGATATGCCCATTGGATCAAAGGGGATATGGTGAGTCATCTCTTCTACAAATTCCACCAATTCAAATGGTTCTACTCTAATTGCACCTTACTATGTTAAAATAAGTCGCAATTACAGTAGGTTGATATGAATCAATAGAACTTCTGCTAGAGTTGATTCACCAAATTCCTAAATCAAATTGGCTTATTCTAGTGGGATTTACTATAGTAAGTAACAGGATTTTGGTCACTTGTGTTTTTTCCCCCAATTATCCTTGCAGGTAACAACACTTCACCCAGAAAAATATGTTTATATGAAAAGTTGTTGTGTGGAAATATGTCGCCTGGAGAGTTGTACTACGTACTTGCAGTGAACTGGTTCTACCCCGAAACCCACTTATTGATTATTATATATTAAGCCACTTGAATGAAAAAAAAACATCACTGCTGCTCATGAGAATTATGCCTCACCTTGCAGAAAACCCTAAACCCTCTTCAGGCATAACAAATAGAGTGAAAATAAATATGCAAAGAGGGGCCTATATTAGTGCTGCCTATCTCCACTGAATGTTTAGTTTCACTGTACTTGTAACATCTAAGTAGGCATGATGTCTGCTTGAGCTTGCAAACAGGTTGCTGAAATTATCACTAAAAGTGGCCAACACAGTGTCTCATTTTGCCACATATTTGCTATGTAATTAAATCCTGCCACTAGAAGATTCAGATGTCATTTCAATGATTGTTAATAGAAAGAAACGAGATTCTGCATTAACTACTGCTGTTCGTTCTCCAAAGCTGAACAGTTTGGACAGAGGAATGTGTGATTATTGTAAAGACTGCAAATTACATCATGTTTCACTCTTTGTAACTCTGGCTAGAGTTGACAAGAGAATTAAACTTCTCAAAATGAATAAATCTTTATATTAACTATAGAAAAAAGTGGTAGAAACTTATTTTTCTTAACATGTTTTTATGGATACCCAGAGCAACATATGACTCAAGTTTTACCTGGTATAAAGAAACAGGTATGAGAAAATATGCCAGTTGCTAGCCTGGTTTAGAAATAAAACATTAACAAGCCATCCGCACACTGGAAAATGATTATCTGTGGTTCCATAACGCACCCATCTTTATGTTCAAGTTTATTGTATGTGTAGGCTTCCAAACCTCTCTTGTCATTCCCTAGTCCCACCCACTCCACGTACCTTTTACAAGGACCTTTTCTGCTTTTACCTGTGGTTCCATCGATTTTTGCAATGGAGGTTGAACAGGCTCTGAATTTCCATTTGAGAAGGACTCTGATCTTGAAGGCACGGGTGGCTCTAACGCTTTGCTTGTCTGTTTAGACTGTGCTTCAGGGGAGCCCTGATTATTCTTTCTGTATCTATCATCCACCTGGAGGAGGGGGAAAAAAGAAGAAGTACATGATCTGATCTTAAATAGCTGCCACCATCACATCTGATCAAATGATCTGAAGCTGAAACTTAAATCCACTGAAAACAGAAGCAGTCTTGGAAGCTGGCCCCCCTGACTTGTATTATTTCTATAACTGTAGGCTGCAATCATTCCCATCCCCTTCTTTTACTTCAGGGCTGGAAAACAAGCGGTCCTCCAGACATAACTGGATTCCAGTACCTATTAGTCTTTGCCAGCTTGCCCAACAGCAGTATAACTCCCAACCCCTGGAGAGCTATAATTTCCCCAATCCTGCTTTAATTCCTTCCTTCAAAATTAAGATGAAGCACATGGCATAAGACACTGAAGAAATATTAACTGGACTGTTCTGGGAATGTTCACAAAAACAAAAGAAAAGAAAAAGGCTGAAAAGACTAAACGTACAGAAAACATTAAGCTATTTACTTTCAGTCACAACTGTGATGGACTCCAGCACTGAACAAGAGGTAGGAAACTATATGTAAGTGTTTTTCCTTAAAGGTTCAATTACAAGTGTTCTTGTCCCAAACCTGCAAGAAAAATCTCTTCACATCTCTGCTTGGGTTGTGGAAACCATGTAAGAGGTTTATATAGTAAGTAACAGGATTTTGGTCACTTGTGTTTTTTCCCCCAATTATCCTTGCAGGTAACAACACTTCACCCAGAAAAATATGTTTATATGAAAAGTTGTTGTGTGGAAATATGTCGCCTGAAGAGTTGTACTACGTACTTGCAGTGAACTGGTTCTACCCTGAAACCCACTTATTGATTATTATATATTAAGCTGCTTGAATGAAAAAAAAAAACATCACTGCTGCTCATGAGAATTATGCCTCACCTTGCAGAAAACCCTAAACCCTCTTCAGGCATAACAAATAGAGTGAAAATAAATATGCAAAGAGGGGCCTATATTAGTGCTGCCTATCTCCACTGAATGTTTAGTTTCACTGTACTTGTAACATCTAAGTAGGCATGATGTCTGCTTGAGCTTGCAAACAGGTTGCTGAAATTATCACTAAAAGTGGCCAACACAGTGTCTCATTTTGCCACATATTTGCTATGTAATTAAATCCTGCCACTAGAAGATTCAGATGTCATTTCAATGATTGTTAATAGAAAGAAACGAGATTCTGCATTAACTACTGCTGTTCGTTCTCCAAAGCTGAACAGTTTGGACAGAGGAATGTGTGATTATTGTAAAGACTGCAAATTACATCATGTTTCACTCTTTGTAACTCCGGCTAGAGTTGACAAGAGAATTAAACTTCTCAAAATGAATAAATCTTTATATTAACTATAGAAAAAAGTGGTAGAAACTTATTTTTCTTAACATGTTTTTATGGATACCCAGAGCAACATATGACTCAAGTTTTACCTGGTATAAAGAAACAGGTATGAGAAAATATGCCAGTTGCTAGCCTGGTTTAGAAATAAAACATTAACAAGCCATCCGCACACTGGAAAATGATTATCTGTGGTTCCATAACACACCCATCTTTATGTTCAAGTTTATTGTATGTGTTGGCTTCCAAATCTCTCTTGTCATTCCCTAGTCCCACCCACTCCACATACCTTTTACAAGGACCTTTTCTGCTTTTACCTGTGGTTCCATCGATTTTTGCAATGGAGGTTGAACAGGCTCTGAATTTCCATTTGAGAAGGACTCTGATCTTGAAGGCACGGGTGGCTCTAACGCTTTGCTTGTCTGTTTAGACTGTGCTTCAGGGGAGCCCTGATTATTCTTTCTGTATCTATCATCCACCTGGAGGAGGGGGAAAAAGAAGAAGTACATGATCTGATCTTAAATAGCTGCCACCATCACATCTGATCAAATGATCTGAAGCTGAAACTTAAATCCACTGAAAACAGAAGCAGCCTTGGAAGCTGGCCCCCCTGACTTGTGTTCTTTCTATAACTGCAGGCTGCAATCATTCCCATCCCCTTCTTTTACTTCAGGGCTGGAAAACAAGCGGCCCTCCAGACATAACTGGATTCCAGTACCTATCAGTCTTTGCCAGCTTGCCCAACAGCAGTATAACTCCCAACCCCTGGAGAGCTATAATTTCCCCAATCCTGCTTTAATTCCTTCCTTCAAAATTAAGATGAAGCACATGGCATAAGACACTGAAGAAATATTAACTGGACTGTTCTGGGAATGTTCACAAAAACAAAACAAAAGAAAAAGGCTGAAAAGACTAAACGTACAGAAAACATAAAGCTATTTACTTTCAGTCACAACTGTGATGGACTCCAGCACTGAACAAGAGGTAGGAAACTATATGTAAGTGTGTTTCCTTAAAGGTTCACTTACAAGTGTTCTTGTCCCAAACCTGCAAGAAAAATCTCTTCACATCTCTGCTTGGGTTGTGGAAACCATGTAAGAGGTTTATTACGTGTCCGTACAATACAGTTATTCAGCATGACTAGCCGTTATACTGTCAAAATGTAACAAACCATTCTATGATGTTGCTTCACAGATGTTTCAAGTCACACAAAATTAAGTATTTATAACACACCTACCCACTGGAGAACTCATAGTGGTATTCGTGATGCAATATATATTAAATCATACATACATATGGAACTCAATGCCACAAAAGGCAGTGATGGCTGACTGCAGAGAGAAAAGTTATTGTACAACTAGCCTTTGGAAAGAATATAGGAATTTGTCTTTTAGCATCAGATCACGTATCTATCAAGTTCAGTTAGCATATACTTGGGAAAGCTCCTTTAAAAAAGAGAGAGAGAGAGAAGCAACTAACTTCCATAGTATCTGTCCCAATACAGCCAGACAGCCACTGCAAGTTAGCCAGTGGCCACCATCCATTGGCTGGGAGTTTCTGGGAGTTGTAGGCCAAGTTCTGCATTTAAGGGTCAGAACTGGCTCTTTGAGACTTCAGGCAGTGATCTCTAGCAGCCCTGCCTAGAGATGCCAGGAATTGGGCCTCAGAGCATTTGCTTACGAAGTCTGGGTTGTACCACTCAGCTATCAGCCTATCACAACGGATCAAATTTATAAAGAACTTGGCACTTCCGTTGAGAAACTCTAGGAATGAAAGTCTAATGATTTTATTTGAGAGAAAGGGCTCAGATGCAGGAGTCTGACAATACAAATCTTCCACTGACCATGGGCCCATTATTTTTTTTAAAAAAATGTTCATTCGAATATTTCAAACTTCTGAATCTCCTTGTGTATCCTGGCAGAAAAAATATTAAGACATAAATTAATGGTAACCAGGGTTTCCAGAGGAGAGGTTCCATGGATGATGTTCTGCTTGTCTTTCACGCTTTTCGTGGTTAGCTTTGAACACTCGCTGCCTCCTATTTCTGTTTAGCATCAAACACGGAGCAACACTGTGATTCCCATGCTGAAGAAAACATGTCACATGCCAGAAACCCTGAGAGAGAAGTTACCTCCCGTGGTCTTTCAGTAGGCTCATAAAGGGATTTAAGCTCAGGAGTATGATAGTTTTGTTTATTTCTTTCTTGCTGCTGCTGTTGCTGTTGTTGTTGCTGCTGCTGCTGTTGTTGTTGCTGCTGCTGTTGATGCCGCCTATGGTCATGCTGCAGTGACAGAAGATACGCCTGTTCCTGTTGCAACTGACGCTGGAGTCGCTCTGCCTGCCGATGTTCTTCCATCTCTCGCCATCTATACTCCTTTGAGAAAACAGATCCATATTCAAGATATGTACAACAGGCTCACCAAAGGCTCCCCTACCCCTCCTGGTGACTTACAGATCTCTATTGTTAAAGCGTGAGTGTACCAAATATTAATATTAGAACAAAAGGACCATGGGTTTTGAACCCCTTGGCAAAAGCTTTTACACTAACCTTAACGAGGTGGTCGGCCTACAGGTATAGGGGTGTGTATGTTTGTTTTTTAAAGTGGTCCAGTGTACTGCTGAAGGACAGTGTGGTTTTGATAGGGGAAGGGTCGGGGAAAGGAGGCAACAACCTGACCGTTATAGCAGTTATTTAATAAAATACAGTCTACTGTCTAATTATTCAGCTAAAGGGCTGTTCAAAAACTTGACAACCAAACCTGAACTATTCCAACTTAAAACAAAACAAAACAGAGGCATCTACCCTTATTGCACTGTGAGATCAACATACAGTATTTTTCACATGTGCCTTCCAGCCCAATACACTATAGCATGAATAGCTTTTGTTCCAGGCTCTATTGTGTGTAAAGTTCAGCTCAAGAAAGCCTGGGATGCCAGCCAGAGAAAAGAAATCCTATAGCTACTGAACAAAACAGATGCAGTGTGTTACCAGTAACATGGCCTGCTCCTGGAGCAGCTGCTGCTGAAGAATTTCCAAGTGCCGCTGCTCCTCTTCTAGCTGTCGCCTGATATACTCCTGTCACATAGAAATTACCCAGCAATAAAATTGTTCACAACAAAGAATGCATCGAAACCACCTGAGTAGAACACCAAAGAACAAACCAACTGCCCCAGGTCACTTTCTGGTGATGATTCACTTATTGGATTTTGTGAATCGCTAGTGAACTAGTTAAGAAAACCCTATCCTCTAATGGCTGCTAATTATTTCATTTTGGATTAAAATGTTATAGTTTTTCTAGGTGGGAAGAGCTCACAGCCTGTCTGATGAATTTTGAAAAAAATAATAAGCGTATGTATTTTTAAAAGACACTGAAGAGTTAAAAACACAACAAGTCTTATCAACAGAGCCAGCACAAAATTACATGCAATTTTTACTGAAATAATTAGTTTTAGGCACTGTGTAATGAACCGTTAGCAACAGCTAGAGCCAAGGCTTCGTTAAAGCATCTCATTCACAAGCTTCCCACAGAAACTTTCTGCCAAACACAGCTCTAACCTGAACTACAGATTTATCCTATCCTCCATCATCAAAGCAGACAATGCCAATCTTGCTGACGTATGTGGTGGTTATGACAAAAACACAAAACAAATATCCACTAGAGAACAGATAGAAGACCAAATGCATTTAATTGGGAAAACAAAGTCTATCCTTCACAAGTTAAAAAAAATATGAATATATTTATTCACTGCTTCAACTGGCCTACTTAAGCCAAGTCTAAGTATGCAAAATATCCAAAGCCAAAAACATCCTACCATGCAAATTAATGAGTATAGATCATACAAACACATGCGCTGAAACAGAGAGAGAGATAGGGAAAGAGACAGTGTATGCAAAAGGAATTAATGATTCAGTGCAATGGTATAATGGGAACTACTTGAAATCTGGTGAAGGAAAAAAAAGACATGTATACTAGCTTGTTATATGTATCTCTGTAAAACCAGAATTTAGGTGAAGTGAAGCAAGATGTGTGATTTCTTAAACCAGCCACCAGGATAAGATATCTGTCTCAGTTGACACTGTATTTTTGTGAGTCCACCCCCACTCAGATTTGACTCGAGTTCCATGAAACCTGCACTATCTGTATCCCCATCTACACCCAAATGCCGTTTCATGGGATCCTCTAGCACTGTAGCATAGATACACATGTGGTCCATCTGCACACTGAGAAGCCTTCTTCTGCATAGAGGTATCATCTGCATAAGAAGCTGTCTTCTGCATACAATATATTACATTGGGGCAATTAACTCCTTTTTCCCATGGGACCATCCAAGACAAGCAATTTCTATAACAATAATAAGACTTCTGCCATTACATGATCTCATGACTTCAACTATTTAGAATAAAACCATCTCTACAACTGAAAGAATATATGATACACTATACAAAAAAAACCCCCCATAAGAATGTATCTTCCAGATATAAATTTTTAGACATTTCAGTTATATGATAATTTACATGTGCTCTGGTACCTTGTCAATTAGACATTGTTACTTACACAAATCCTATGCAAACATTAATAGCATTCCAGCCATTTTACATCAAATTATAATTCACCTGGTAATATTTATTCGTAAAATGGATGGACTATCACAACTCTAAAAACATGTCCCCTTTAAAGGAATTTGAGTATGCAAACATATAAAATACGCACAAAATGAATGAGAATTTGAAAAGCTGAGGGTTCATTCTACCTTAGTATAATTGGGTTAATGGAAGTTCATACATTGCAGAAGAAAACAACGTGTGGACCTCTAGCTATTGTTGAACTTGCAGCAGCCTTATCTGGACTGGAGGAATCAACACAGCCAATACTGATGGATAATCAGAACTGCAGTACAACAACATCTAGATAGAAATGCATTCCCCCATCCCTGATTTTGTAAGTCTGAATATCATAGCCCCATGTAAGCAATGTACAGACATGTCAGAACCAGCAAGCAGAGAGGAGACCAAAGAACCATGTTCAAAATTATACTTAGACTGTCTCCAATCTTCTTTGCACTTCTATCACATTGTGAGGTGTTCCACCCCCAAAGACATCTTATGTAGCATATTTATAACATAAGTAAGCTACCTAAATTTCTAGTGCTTATATACAATTTATCTTTCAATAAATGAAACCATAAGAGATTTCCTAATGGTTTTTTCCAATATTTTATATCCTGGGGAAAGAGGAGGGGGAGGAGAATCAAGTTCCCTTTCACATTGTTTCAGACTTACCTGCTCTCTTTCCACTCTCCTCTTTTCTTCCTCCGCTCTCCGTCTCTCCTCCTCTTCCTTTCGCCTTTTCTCCATTTCCTCCAATCGCTTTTTCTCCTCCTGTTCTCTCCTCCTTTGCTCTCGTTCTTGCTGTCTTCGAGCTTCTCGTTCTCTTCTTTGTTGCTGCAAAAATAAAGTTTAAAAAAAATTAAAACTGCTCATTACACACATCTTTTCCAGCCTTCTAAATCACTAGGGTGGATAGCTTCTGGCTTTAGATTAAGCTCAATTCCAATTTGCACTAGGCTCTAGGCAGCAATGTCAGGGGTAATAGGAGGCAGAGTCTAGTTTCTACAATCAGAATTTCTAAACATTTAAAATGACTAGTGGAGCCATGAGAACCAACAAAAATGTATCCATGTTTAGCATATTCACATAACAAATAATGGTGGTGATCCTGTTATTTAGTGTAGTAAGTTGTTTCCTCCTCACTGTCACATTGGAGGAAGAGGAAGTTAAGGCAGAACACATGAGCCTCAGGCTTGCTGAAACTCATTGTGATCATCAAGGGTTGGCCAAGATTTAAGAATTGCACCCCTGAACCTTGAAGGGCCATGCCCACTTCTGTGGCCTGTTCACTCCCAAAACATTTTGTTGAAGAGATGCTTGCTAACTGACACCCCCTGCTCTACATTTACAAAACTAGGAGACAAGTGGCACAAGTCAACACATGACAGAAGTGCTGCCGCTACCCCTTAGAGCAAGGGTCCCCAGCCCCCAGTCTGCAGCCCGGGGCTGGTCTGTGGCCTTGGCAGGACTGGGATGCGGAAACAGATATGCCCCCCGCATACACTCCCCCACCTGCACGCACAGGTGCCCCTCCCCTCCGTGAGCGTGCCCTGCCCCTTCGCACATGTGTGCAAGTGTGCTCCGCCCCTCCATAAGTGTGTCCCGCCCCTTCATGCATGCACATGAGTGCACTACGCCCTGCCGCGAGTGCGCCCCATCCACCCGTGAGGGCAGAGGGTGCCCCCTCGCGAACAGACCCCACCCCCAGACCAGTCAGTGACTCAGAAAAGGTTGGGGACCACTGCCTTAGAGCAGTTGGGAGTGATGTGTTGTGCTCGCGGGGAGCATATTGAGCTCATGTGCATGCACGGGGCCTGTTGCACTCGCAGGGGGAATGCTCGTGGGGGTCAGATTTGTGTCTGCGTCCTGATCCTGCCTAGTCCACGGACCGCTACCGGGTCAGAAACTGGGGGTTGGGAACCCCTGCCTTAGAAGATATAAAAAGACCCCTATTACTATCACTCTTACTGGGCCAAGAAGGTGGATCTATCCCAAGGGGGTGGGGACTGCATGAGAGGATGCATGCGCCCTTGCATTCACATCTGCCCACTTTTGTACTACACTGTGGTTGACTGTGATGGCTAAATGTGCCCAAACTCAAAAAATAAATTTCTAGCAACCTGTTAAAATAACGTGACATTTTACTGATTTTAAAGTGAATTTTTAAGATGTGTAGGCACTACACAAGCTGTACAAGTATGTATTAACAAGTTTCCTAAACATTTATATTAATTATATATTAGAGAAAAATATTTAAATTAGATCTAAATGTATTAGGAGCATGTTAAGAAATGTGAATTCTAATTGGGCCCATCCATTTGCTTTCAATGGGACCTTGCTAGAACTATCTTTTGCTGAAGTGAAACTATTAAGTAGAAAAAATATCAAAGTCCATTAAACCAAGGGAGAGGAAGTAAGTGCACCAAACAATGTTTACATGCTTCAAGAAAACCTCAGAATTGTAACAGAACTGATACTTATCCATAAAAACAGATAAACCTTTTTAAAAAATTGGCTGCCAACTCTCCACCTCAAACCTCTGAGTTATTACATTGTTTTAGACAGATAATTATAATTATCTTTAGAATTAATTGACACAATGGTTGGTAGGGAACAAATGAATAAGATCAATAACCATCTTTGATATGGAGAATGAAATGAATGTCAAATACCATAAAAGGTATTTTGCCTCAAATCTAAGTCTTGTATTTTTAAATTTTTTAACTACTGAGAGTTTGCACTTTCACAAATTAATTTCATCTTGTCCTTGAAACAATGTAACATCTCTGTGTGCCAACAATACTTTCCAATTAGCAATTGATTTATCTACTCTGCATGGTTAACGGCTGAACTTTTTTTAAAAAAGGACTACATTCCAAATACAAAAACTACAAAACAACTAATGTCAAAATCCATCCAGAATGTCTGCCAGCTTTGTAGGCTGGGATTTCTATAATTCTTTGTCACCAAACATCAAATGGAAAATATGGTATACATGCCTTTTAACTGCATTAGCTAGAACAAACAATTTGGACCTTTTGCTTTCTCAAAAATATAGCCCAATGAAATAAAGAATTTAAGATCTTGGAGACCATTTCATTCAGTTTCCCTAATGTTACCTTCTTAAATTTATTTTGTAACACAAAAGGTGAGTTAAGGACATAGTCCTGAAGTGCTTGGGTCATCCCCCATCCTCACTTGTGGTTTTGTTTCCTTTTTAATTTCCAAGTAGTTTCATTTCAACCCCAAAGTATGTTACAATTACTTGTGATGGCACCAATGACAGCTTTTCTTCCATCCTTTAAGTACCACATGAAAAGACTGTGGGAGTGAAGAATTTAACTTTTCTATGCAGTACAGGTCTGATTCTGAGATTGGCCGTTGCTTTTAATTCAGATTTTAAAAGAAGTTGTACGCTATATATTAAGTTACGTGTAGTCCAGCCTTTGCTGACATGGTCCTCTCCCCAAGTGGGCTGGATTAAGTATCTCATCACACCCCAGACTACATGGTTGATAGGTGTTGTAGTCCAACACAGCTGAAGGGCACTGGGTATAGGAACCGTGATGTAATTTCACTGTTAATCAGTATTCTTGAAAGAGTCACTCTATTCGTCACCTGAACAAAATGAGCCACTAATAGCTCCAGTGTCAGCTGAAGGGAGAAAACATAATTAGTTTTCAACAGATTTCAGGGGCACTCTGTCTCATTAAAATCTCAATATGTTACAAAACTTTAAGAGTATAGTGACAACATTATTTTTAAAAATAAAATGTCTTCTCAAGTGACTTAAATGACTGAAAATATTGTAAAGTGGTAAAACTGCATTTGATCATATGCAGAAATGAGGGTATTCGTATATGAATATAGCTCCACAGGGCCTTCCTATCACTCCATTGCTCGCAACGGATTAGCCACTCTGCGACCAGACAGAGAGGCTTGTCAACCCGCCTTCGGCCAGGACTGGCCAATCCATTGCAAGCAACAGAGCTATAGGAAGGCACCATGGAGCTTGCGGCAGCGGTGGAATTGTGAGTAGTTGATCTGGCCCCAGAGGGCCGGACCCTTGTTATCTGCATCTGTGGGGGAATATTCATATTCGTATACAAATACCACACATCTCTAATGATATGCTAAGCGTCTATGCTAAAATACAAGGGCCAGAATTCTGCTTGTCAAGACGTAATACAACATTACACCATTGTAAATGTGCTGGGAATTCCACCCCAGCTGCACAAGCTGGTTGTGTTGAGTAATTTTCATTTCAATCAACTGCACAACACACCTGTGGAAGTGCTTCAAGAATAGTAGCTCCACTTTGGCGTAACCAAAGCTACCGGAGGCGTAATGCTGTTATATCTGTGTAGCTACGCAACAGAATTTAAGCCTTGCTCTTTTTTATGAAACTGGAATCCAACAGAAGGGGTAGAACAATGAATGTGCTAATCAGAACATTTTCCATGTTGGGTATATGTTCTCCTTTTCTGGGCAGTATGCATGAGAACAAAATTGTGTTTGCTGCACTGTAGTTTTTACAGCATGCAATAAATAAAACTGGTCATTTGGAGGGAATCATCAAACATTTTCATGTATCTTCCATGCACCAGTAACAATAATTAGCATTAAGAAACCAAACCAGTTATTGTTGCAAAGATGTTAATGGTAGCCATGACAAACTTTTGCTGATCCAAAGTAGTGAGTAAGGGAGCAAGTTTCTTTTAAAAAGAAATGCTCCAAGCTCTTCTTGTGACTAGTGTTTTAATGCACTACTGAAGTATTTCAATGTTTCTGCTTGTGAGACCAGGATGAGATCATTAGATCTTCCAAAAAAACAGTGCTTCACAAAACAATAAAGAAGGAGAACAATTTAAGGAAGCCATTTACCATCGTGTAAACCAAGGAAATGTGAACAAGATGACAGTAAAGTTCAGTAGATAAACTCTGGGTGTTGTTTGCTCTTTGTTTTTCCTTTTTGGCTTGGGATTGTCGCTGTGTATGGACTTAGCATCAGGCTTCATAGAAAGACTACTCACGAGCTTTTGCTACTCCAAAAACCCGACTGACAGGCATTAAGCATCAGTGCCAAATTCAAATATTGCACTACAGAGGGCCATTGTCCAAATGGGCAGTTAAAATCTGTGTTCGGATTGGTTATTTTTTAATATCCCAGGCCTTCACTGTTCAGTTTAACATTAAGAAGGCTGACATTTCAAATTGTTAGGCGCAATCTCTCCCAGGCTAGCGAACTTCATGCAAGAAATTGTTAGGCGCAATCTCTCCCAGGCTAGAGAACTTCATGCAAGAATTCCTTTTTCTTTGGCTGTTATAAATAAATAAACAAACAAACAAACAAATAAATAAATAAAAGGATGGGGGAGGGGAGGGGAACCTTTTCAATGTTAGCCTATTTCTACCTCTTCTAGTCTCCTCCTTTGCTCTTTCTGCTGTTCAATGCGCTTTTGTCTCTCTGCCAGCAGCTGCCGCTTGTATTCCTCTTGCTCTCGTAGCTGCTGTTCCTGTAGCAGCTGTTGTCTCCGAAGAGCCTCCGAACGTTCCTTATTTTCCTGCTGCAGTCTCAGGAAATCACGTCTGAGGGTAGATTCTCCAGGCACATTAACAATAGAACTGTGAGAGTGGGAGGAAAGGCATTAGAAGACAAACAAAATCTAGGAGGTTAATAGCTAAATTTGTCAGAAACTTTTTCTCTTTGCATCATTTCTTTGTTTTATCCTAGAAGCACCAAAAAAACAACAACAACAACACAGCAATGGAGGGGGAAGTGCTGAAGTCAGAAGAAATCACAATCTAGTCAATTCAGTGCAGAATTTGCAAATGGAAACTGCTCAATATTTCTTTTAAGACAAAGGAAAAGTCATTACAGACACACACAGCAGACTCTTATAGCAAACAGCAGGTTAATGCATTATGATGCCTCAGACATCTTGGCACTTAGACAGGACACAACAGACATTTCCTTATGCCGCAGTACAGCAGGCACGGCCTTTCAAGATTTTCATTTTGAACAAGCTAATACTGTCTTATGTTTTCTCACAATGGGGAATGAAGTCATTACTTCTGATCCTATGATGATAAGAATTGTTTTTTGTCCTAATTTGTGAGGAAAATTCAGGCCATGGTAAAACCAATCAGCTTTGTAACTTAGCTGGGACTGAAACCTGAGTTTCCCTGTGCCTAAAAAGAATGTCAAAACCATTACTAACCAATACTCTGACCCAAAATGCATATTAAATCTACTACAAATATGCAATTTCACTTCTGTTTTGTAAAAAAAATCTTACAGGTATTGAAGGAGTGTCACACTGCACAGGGAAATAACTTCTATTCAACCCTAGCTACTACACCCATAGCTAAGAATGAAAGAAATCACTTCTGTATCCTGTGTGCCTATAAAAAGAAAATCAGAAGGCAAAACACAAACATGATCACAATGTTTAATTTTACCTTTAATTCTAGGTTAGAGGAAAATCCAACAAACAGTCCAAGAAGAAAAGACAAAACAGGCTCATTTCTTACATTACTGGAGAGCCTTTGTTCTGTGCTGAGATGGACCAACTATGCTGTGCATGCCTTAGCCTTGAATTTGAGGGTGAGGGGTGTGCGTACGCACACTCTCTCTACCTCTTTCGGTCAGAAGGTAGACTGGAACACTGGCAAAGATTTCTCACTTTTAATTTTTAACAATAACAATAGCGCAGCTCCTTCATTTTCTATAGTATACCAATGAAACGAAGAAAGTACAGATAAGGGTCGAGAGAACAAGATGAATTTTTTGTGTATGGAAGGGCTGGGACTTCAAGCAAACATCTACACTCAGAATTCTTTAATTCTTAGCATGTGTCTTTTCTGCCAGGTCCTAAGGTTCTGCTATAAAAAAGTAGACCATGCATGCTTAACTCCTGTTCTACACTGATCCAGAGAATCTTGCAGATTCTAGTCCCCTCTTTCGAAAGCAAGGTTGTAGTTCAGATACTTGCAGACTTGTTTACATTTTGTACCGGAATCTTGTTGGAAAAAACACAGCATTACCTTGGCTCTCCTTCTTGTTCAGGCACTTCTTCCTCCTCCTCTTCACTTCCACTATACTCATATTCTGTTTCATCTGGTGGGAATGGAGGGACATTGTGACAACAATTCTCTTTCAAGAAAAACAGATTTGGAGCAGAACATACATCATTCTATGCAGAAGGTGTCCTACAGACAGAGCTCTCTGGAAGAGTTTGAAGTAAAGATGGAGAGCATCCCCAGGATTAGTTTAAGATCTGCAGAGATACTGTTAGTTCCAACTAGAACTGACCCATAGAGTCAATGGGAATTACATACGTGTTGATCATCAAATCCCCTTGATTCAGTGCACCTGCCCTAGGTGGGACTAATTATTGAATGTATTTGACTATATCAAAGAGTCACTGAAACTCCTCCTGATAACTTTTAAGGAGACTGCTTTAGTAACATATACAACTGTTCACACTTGAAAGGGAACCATCATTAAGTGTGCTTTTATTGCCAAAGCAAGATTGATTGATTGATTGATTGATTGATTGATTGATTGATTGATTGATTGATGCTGCAGAATGACCCTTGCCACTCAGTGAGCTATGGGTATAGAATTAGTACATTCCAAAACACATTTTTTTAACACCAGAAATTCAATGCAAAAGTTTCAGGTGCATACTGTTGTTTTTACCACATGTCTCCAATCCCACTCAGTCACCATCCCACCTGGCCAAAACTGCTATTTCACAGTACTTGGAGGAGCAAAGATAAAAAGACTGCGATAAAAAACTGGTTTTACTTTGGATGTACGCAGTTGGATTTTTGACTTTTTGTGTTTAAACAGCAGGCTGTAATGCCACAACATTAATATCTTTTATCATTCCTTTCCATTTCAAAAGTCGTTTGCCATGTGGTATGAGGGGTGATATTTGAGACGGGCACTGTTGCTTACGAAAACACACCTGAAGCCTCCTGGGCATATAGAACTATCTGCCCAATATGTGGCTCAAAACATTTCTTAAGCTTTTAAGTTACAGGATTTTCATCCATTCCTCAAAGGATTTCACTTTCCTTACCTGGTGAGAAGTAGACAGGCACAAATCACACACGACAACTACTAATATAACATACTGACACAAAACGACAAACTACTTAGAAGAGTGTGATACATACAATATGAAATCCTTCCAATGCAGTTAATACTTGTGACACAACATCTTCAATATATATGTACCAAAATCAGATCTCTGTCCCCAACCATCATGTGACATTTGACATCAGAGGTAACAGAAAGGTTACTAAAGCTCTCACCATCAAGCAAACAGCAAAGCCTACATCACAATATATGTTGACTACCGTTAATGCATATTAAGGCATATTAACTGATCTCTTTGAAAGTTGTCATACCAACTGCCCTACCTTTCTACTTTTCCCTTGCACTCCCATTCTTTGGTATTTTCATCAGACAGGTGCAGGCTCTGCCTTACAAGTAGTTTACATACAGTCCATAGTTCATATAGGTGCCGTGAAACCAACAGTACTACTACACACATACAATGTGATTGTAGTTTTGGAAAGAAGACATACCTTTCTCTCCTCTCTTCTTCCTGGTTCTGTCTATATGATCTTTCAGCTGGATGCGGACCTGCCGTTCATTTGGCTGATCACGTATAAAAGGATGTTTCAAAAGCTGCTCTGTAGAAGGTCGCTGCATATAGTTCTTCACTAAACAGCCCTCTATAAAACTAAAGAACTTTTTTGACCTAAGCAAAAATAAACAACACATATATAAGCCATTTGGTAAACTTAGTCTATTGGGGAGGTGGTAAGTGCTTCAACGCTGGTGGCATTCAAGGAAAAATTAACCATCTGTCATATCAACTTTGATTTGTATTCCTGCATTGAGCAGAGGGCTGGACTCGATGGCCTTATAGACCCCTTCCAACTCCATTATTCTATCATTCTAGGATTCTAAGAATCCACAGCATTGCCAAATTCAGAACCAAAATCTGATAAATCTATTCGCAAAGTCACAAAAAAAAAAGAGAAAACATTATTTGGTTGTTGTGGGTTTTTCAGGCTCTTAGGCTGTTTTCTGAAGGTTGTTCTTCTGACGTTTCGCCAGTCTCTGTGGCCAGCATCTTCTGGCGAAACATCAGGAAGAACAACCTTTAGAACACAGCCTAAGAGCCCGAAAAACCCACAACAACCATTAGATCCCACCCGTGAAAGCCTTCACGAACACATTAAAACATTATTTCACGAGCTAAAGCAAATTACAGCAAATTTATTAAAATAAATCAGAATAAATATTTTTCCAGTATTCTGACTCAATATTAAGTGCTATACTAAATTAATTTTTCAATTTATTTGTTTACTAGTTTGTTTGTTTAATAAAGGGCAATCCTTCTAACGACACAAAGTAGAGAAAGCAATAAGGGTCAAGGATATGGTGCCTTGAGCTCTTGTGAGAAAACATGGGATATAAATTGAACAACAATAACAAAACAGTCTAGATTTATCCTGTTTCAAGGCAGGAGCTTTAAAATGATTAGTCCTAGGCAACCAATTAAGAAAGAGATTATCTTTTACATTTGATGAAGCAGAAAAAAGTAACAGCCGGGGAATAATTCCACTTCATTTCTTTGAAGGAGAAAAAGCATTTACATTTACATTTATTTACACTGTCTTATGCAATGAACAAATAAAGAAAGATTTAAACAACCAGCACAAAATGCCCACACTCCTAAACAAAAAGGGTATCTAGGTCAAGAAATACAGAGAAGCTAATCCAATCTTAGCCACACTTGAAGCACCTTATTATTTGGACCTGGATCAAAACCAGTTTGTTAATCCATAGAATTGGTTATTCTGG